CCCAACAAAGCCACCCATGAATCTTATGCCATCCAAAGAGAGATTTGAATGTTGGCAGATTGACATTTTAGGTCCACTCCACCCAGAAGGATATGAAAACATATTAATTTGTATTGATGCTGGAACTAGATGTCCAGAAGCTTTCCCACTCCGTACGCCAAATGCATAGGAAGTAGCTACAGTCCTCTTTGATAACATAATAGCTCGCTATGGTGCCCCTCTGTTCTTTTCTCTGATCGTGGTAGAAATTTCATGTCTAGAGTCATCAATGCTCTTTGTGAAGTTATTTGACATCTCAAAATACCGCACGTGTGCTTATAATCTAAATACGAATGTCTTGGTAGAAAAACAAAACCATGTAATTTCACAGTCACTGCGAGCTTACTGTGACAAAGATCGACACCTTATTAATGGCCCACCTTTTCATCAGTAATCATGATGTCAATTAGAAAGTCAGTCTCAGCAAGTTCTACAGAATGCCCCCCTTCGTCATGATGTTTGGTTAGGAAATGAGACTTCCATTTGATGTGGAACTTCAGCCAAAAGATAACATGGGTTTACATACGGAAGTCAATTCATGCAACAGTTTTTGTCAAAACTTTAAGATCTACCATAAAATAGCAAAAGAAAATGTACTCTGTCACCAGCAAAAGAACAAAGAAAGGTATGAGAGAACATTTCAGACTAAGTGATTGAGTTCTCATGTCAATACATCAGATACCCAAAGGACTTTCAGCCAAACTGTTTGACAGGGCTGGAGGTCCCTATCGAATTACTCGTCTAGGTCCAAACTATACATGTGAATTGTGCAGGATATCTGACAACGAACCACCCCAACCGCTGGTCAACGGCATTCACCTGAATCACTACCACGACCAAGATGAACTAGATGACAATATTCAATCCACTGGAGGAGATGAAGTACAAGAAGCACCGAACACCTAAACTAGGCCTACATCTGGTGCTACAAACAACATTCAACAGTGTTCAAAATGTGCCACATCTTCGCTAGCCAAGGTATCTGATACGCTAAGTACTGACTCCTCATAAACCCTGGTCATACGGTGCCGTGAAAAGACGGGATTGTTTTCGTCACGTGATCTCAAATTTGAACAGGTACAAATGCTGATTGGTTGATCAATGCCGATTCACCCTAATCACAACTTGAGAGAAAAATCCCAACTTTTTTTAAACACCGTATGCCAATAGTGCTAGATTGTCTGATCAATTTCACAAACAATGACAGTCATTATATCTACATTTTTTCTTGTTCTTTAACAGTACAGATAAATTGGACATTTTACATGTACATGCATGTAATGTTATGCAAACAAAAGTATAATAGTCAAAGAGAAACTATACTGCACTAACTTTAAGCTCATTGTGAGTGTATTCATTCAGGAAGGAAATGGTATTAACATTTTCTTTTTATAAAGTTATGTGTTTCCTAGCTTATATTTAACACAAGAGTGTTTTATTTGTGAGTCTGGATCTTGTTGCCGATTTACATAATGTACTTATTATGAATGTCCTAATTCATCCAGAACATTTCAAGTTCAGTCAACAGAGAAAAATGCAGGGATGATTCAACCAGAAAGGGAAAAATGGCCCCTATAGTATCAATGGTCATTTTACAACTGTTGATTGGTAGTAAGTTAATACCAGTATTTAATTTCTTTAAGATAAATTCAACATTTTGAAAAAGCTATTTGGTTTTGCAATCACTGTATATATATATAAAAAGCGGATGTGACCGGTCGACAGGGGATACTTCTCCATGGTACCTGGCTCTGGGGCTATAAAACTTAGTCGAACTCACTTTTGATCTCAGTCTCACTTTTATCAAAGGAAAAGTAAGACTGATATTTGAGCTTGTATGCGTTTTATAGTCTGGTTTGTTCTTGATTTCTGTTTCAATGGACATTTTAGCTTAAAATAATTACTATGAATTTATCCATGTAATTTTTTATTGTTTATATACCGTAGTCCACTATTTATAATATACTAGTAATTAACGATGTCATAATATATTTCTTTCACATAACATCTAGTTAGTCTGTACTTCACTTAATTTAAGTTTTAAGATTATACTGAAAATATTTCATTTTGAATTTGTATCAGGTTCAGAAATCTTAAAACACATAATCAATTTAAAAATTGTTTACTGAACAAGGACATTTTTTACTTATTAATGATCATTTGAACATATTTGAAGGTAGAGAACTGTTTGCATTCGAGAAAATTTCTCCTGAGAAACTGAAATGGAAAGATGCTAAGACTTTCTGCGCAAATCAGAATTCAGTGTTAACTGATCCTGACGTCATAACCAACATCGAGGAATACTGGACAGGAGCTTATTACGCCCCGTCTCAATGGATCCATATCATCGGTAATCTAAAAAAAGGAAATTGTTTGTCTCTTTTAGTTCTTATGTTGGATATTTTAAGACAGAAGAACTGAAATTGAGTAAAAAAAAATTCTTAAGAATTTGAATATGATGCAAACTATATGTAAGTGCCTTAAATCAAAAATTTTATTTTCTACTGCAGGCTGCTTTGAGGATAGCTCTATAAGAGCCGTAACTAATCGTGGTTCTGTAATGAAGAACAATCCGAACATTGGGCTTTGTCAGTTGAAATGTTACCCGTTGGAGGCATTTGCGGTGAAGGTATAATGAATTCACATTTTTTTTTAAATCACAGTATACCCGAATGCTTGGTAGGATAAAGAAGAGGAACATATCGTTTCTTTCCCTTTTGATATCTGGTTGACCCTACTTTCTTTATTACATAATGTCATTGTGCGCCTACATTTAAGTTTAGCGCTGCATTTCATTTCCAGAAATATGCATAGCATTTCCGACATTTTTTGTTTCCATTTCCGACATTTTTTGTTTTCATTTCCGACGTAATTTTGTTTTCATTTCCGGAATTTACCTGTGCGGCAATTCAATGTTTTCTAAGTAAATGAAAATGAAATTTTAAAAGTATTTATTACAAAATATTGATAAAAAAAACAAAAAACATCTACGCATATATGCATACATGTAGCACTAAGTAAGTCTAGGCAAAAGAGTTCAATGAGCATAAACTTTTTCACCACGCCTTTTTTTTCTTCAAAATTTTCATAAGTAAAGTATTCAGATCTGTTACTAAATGTACTAAATATGTATTTGAAAAATGTCGGAAATGAAAAGTTGATAATTACCAAAAATTCCGGAAATGAAATGCAGCCAATTTTTTTTATTTATTTGGGTCGCCCGGAGCAAAACATGGATTACATTGTAGATCACTTAATTTTCGTGACAACTTATTTTCGTGAGATAGTCATTAACTCTTTACAAACGAGACAAAATTTTCACGGACTGTGTTCATTATTCTGTAAAGCCCATAGGAATACTTATATGCTCACGAGAATGCCTCGCGTAATAACTCGAAAATAAAGTTCATGCAAATAAAACGTGATTAACAGTAATAATACGGGAGGTGGGGGTATCATTTAGTGAGCTCACTGCTCACAGTACCTCTAGTTTTTCACACTGCATTCGACTACCTCCTGATCAAAATTTTTGGCTCACGGAGGGTGTTTCGGATTAATAGGGGGATGCTTACTCCTCCTAGATACCTGATCCCACCTATGGAAGTCCCAGGGGTCCGTGTTTTATATATATGCACTGTTTTCAGATATGTATTGTTTGTATACTAGTGTAACCGAGCAGTAAGGCAGATGTTGTTTTCATAATTTATTAAGGAAATAAAGGAATTGATCTAAAATAAACAAAATACATAATAGGTCAAAATTACAGAAATTGTGAAAATAACATACGAGATAATTTACATACAGTAAACGTTTAAGAAAATTGAACTCTAAGAAAAAATGTGTACTGTAAACAAATCAAATTAAAATTTTACAGACTCATTATAATTTCAGTAACAACTTTGAATGCAAAAATACAATAAAGTAAAAAGTTTGCAATCAAAATAATAACGTAAATCAAATCTTTTTATGGTAAGGAAACACATAATCAAATATAAAAGTTACATACCCTAAGATGCGTATGATGGACACTGGATTTTATATACTTCTTTCTTGAAAACGTAATACTGCTCTGACATACATTGGTAAAGCGCGGTAAATTTATACTTATAATGAAAATGTATTATTGGATGAAAAAATACGAAATAACCAATCAAATTAAAGAGCCAATGAAATCAAAGAATAAAACTTTACTCAGGCAACTCAATCCAGATGCGCAATAGAACTTTTTCACTTCTTTATTTCAGTCCAATAGATGTCTTTGTTTGAATGGTTTACCTCCAAAGGAAGGTTCTAGCTCATCTAATAATTGCCCAATTCAATGCAATGACACGCATACAGACGTATACCTACAAGACTGCGGGGGTGTTTCACACTACAATGTCTATAGAACAACCAGAACAGCAGAAAAATGTATGTATAGTAATGTAGACGTTTACAACGTACGCTTATACGAATTGGGAAATTCAATTGAGCTCTGGAGAAGAAATAAATGAATACTTTATGCCCCAGGTATATAGTAGTCAGAAAATTCTACAGTGTTATCGAAGATTCGAGGGTATTTAGATTTTGCAATGTTCGTCCGTTTATCAAATTTTTTGGCTATATCTTTTACATATGTATTCCTAGTGACAAGACCTTTCTTTGGGTACTAACATATTTGAGCTCCTGACCCTGGCATGAAAATTTTAGAATCTGACACACTTTTGCAAAATTTACTCACCTTTTTCATAACTTTTGAACAGTTGGTGCTATGGCTTTCCTTTTTCATATGTAAAATTTTTACATTTTGACCCTGTCAGTTTCACTAACTTTTACCTTTTTCTTGTGTACCATTAATTGTGACCCTTTTGCATTGAAATGGATTTTAACAAACTTTTAGAAAACATTAACATTGATCATAACCTTAAATTTCGAATTGCTTGTGTTTAGGCATTTATAATTACCAGGTATATCTATTGACACAAGTCCTTGATGTATGTCCTTTTTGTATGTAACAACATTTTTTTCTCTTGACTTTGCATGGACCTTTGCCTCAAGTTGCCATACAACTTGTTTTTATTTTAATTGTCTCTACACAGAGTTTGATTAAGTATAGATCGCATGTTTTAGAGCATTTCCGGCAAAGCTCTAAGTTCCAATTTTCGGAGAGGCCTGATTTTGAGAAGTTGCGATTGGTTTCATTTATTTCTATTTTTATATATAAAGACAAAAGCGAATGCCAGGTGATAAGGTGTGTCCAAAACAAAGATGAAACAATTCAACCTGTTTTCTGCTTAAGAGGATTCAAAAAGACTTGTACGGAGCCGAGTAAGTAGAGAGTAATAATTAGAAGGAACTTAAATCATTTAATAGTAAATTATAACAGCAGAAATTTGTTATAAACTTTCAAGACTATTTTTACGATTTCTAGATGTGAATTAAGAATTTTCTAATCTATCTAGAATATGCGTTTATATGTACAAGCGTTGTCCCTGAATTCCCTGGACAACAACACATAAAACCCGATGTCACAAATTAATGAAACTCCTAAATGTAATCAGTTATGAATAACAGACATATTTATTTACCAAAATGGGGTAATTATATGTAATTGAAGCAATGTAATTTTTAAATAATGTTTGGGTAATGGAGAATATTACAAAAATGACTGAATTCTAAAGATAATGTGTATTACCCTCGGTGTTTCTTCAAAGATCATCATTTAAACTAGATATACTGTGAGCACTGAGCGGACTAAATGATACCTCCTGTCTCCCATTTGATTATAATGGCAAAGTTACTGTTTTGCTCTGGGAGACCCGAAATAAATGTCAGATCAAATAGTTAAATAGGAGGTGCACAAATGCATTATGTAATAAAGAATTAGTAAAATTATCATTAAATTTTATTCGGTGGATAAAAGATGGGTCCCCTTCAATGTTGTAGAAAAAAATGGTCGTGTTCATGTTTTCCTTTGGGAAATCAAAAGATTTTGTGAAAGTTTATTAAATTTTATTCCATGGTATAAGAGAAGTTGCGGTTGGGTACCCCAAAGCGTAACAGACGGACGGAAATCCCGATCACTATACTAGTATACCCTCCCACTTTTCAACGTTTTA